TATTTTTAGAATAAAACTGATGCAGCCTTTATAATTGCTATTTTAATGAGTTCTTATTTCAAAACCAGGGTTTACTCTACATGAGATGTCCTAAATATGAATGAAGATGTGCAGGGAGTCTGGAGTTAAAGAAGTCCAGAAGGATACACTTGGAATGAAACTTTAAAATTCTCACTGTTTCCCAGTGGATTGAGAAGCTATAAGGTGATATGTTGCTACATATTCACCAACTAGCTGTTAAGCAACTATGCTTTAAATATCATTATGATAGAAATGGCTAATAGGTCTTCTTTGAATGTTTGCTTTTTTAAAAGCAAGTAAAATTCTCCGAGATTCTTACCCCTACATAAGTCAGGGAAAGACGGTAAAAAGAGAGAGAGAGAGAGAGATTCTTTATTGTGGGCAACTGCAAAGGAAGATTGCAATACTTTAGTTGTTGTTGATAAATTATCTATTACATATAGTGCATAACTTGTTGGTGATGAATTTTCTATTACCTCACACATATAAATGGAGGGAACAAAGGAGGAGAAGGAGGGAAAGAAGGATTGAAGGATGGAAGAAAGGAAAAAGTAAAGAAATTCTAATAAGGCCTACATTTCTTGAATGAACAAAACAGCATAGTTAAACTTAGAGAAGCCAAATTTCTGTTCTTAAATTTTCCACAAGAAATCTTAAGTTAGTTTCTCTCTCTCTCTCTCTCTCTCTCTCTCACCAGGGATTGAACCAAGGAGCACCTAACCATGGAGCCACATCCCCAGCCATGTTTGTATTTTATTTAGAGACAGGATCTGGGCTAAGCTACTTAGGCATTGCTAAATTGTTGAGGCTGGCTTTGAACTCACGATCCACCTGTCAGCCTCCTGAGTCACTGCAATTAGGGGCATACAACTACTACCAGCATTAGTTTCTTTTTAAAACACTCCAGCAAGTCTCATAGTTGTTTCTAAAGGATAAAGCTTATTTAAACATTTTATCTGAAAAATATTTCTTAGTAAAATTTTATCAATGATAAAAGATAAGTTATGAGCAAATAGGATAAGCCATTTTGATTGAAAAATAAATGTTGAAAAAGTGGTAGTTTGTGACAAAGTCAATGTCATCCAGAGTAAAAAGCAATATTAACACATGGGTGACATCAGGATAGGAAGTTGAAGGTCACAGTTATAATTTGATGAATTATTACATGAAAAGATAAAAAGCATTCACATAAAAATCAAGTTTGATTGTCAAACATAATTTGGTAGGGAAGGGAGTTAAGTTGGATGTCTAAGAAAAATAAGAAGAAAACAACAAATGAAAAGACTACAAGGAAGAAAATTCCTTATAATTATCCTTTTAGTTCTCTGTGAGTAGTGTGGAGGAAATTCTGTAAATGGTCATTTTAATACAAAAATATGTCTACTACTTTACTGAAACTGATTAAAAAATAAAGATGAAGAGGCATATACACTGGGTAGCATTTTCTCATTAAAAAAGGAGGAAAATATTTCTCTGAAAAATCAGATTCTACATTTAATTCCACCCCAAACCTTCCTTATGTAGTTATCTATAGCTTTAAGAAAGTAAAGATATCACTAATTGGGTGTTTTGCTAATTTATAGAGAAAGAGACCATTTTACATAATACTTTACATAACTGAAATTAACCATTACTTTTTCTATTGAATTGAAAATCTTCAGTGAAGAAATCACCTTTATCTAGTCAGATACCTTAAATGATCAGAAAGCAATGGATATATTTTACACACTCACAAATGATATAAACTAAAAGTCATTTGGCTCCTGAGTGTCTTCATTCCCATCAAAGAACTGATTTTCTGAAACTATACACTCTGCTGCCCATTTATATAGTTGATTCTATTAACTATTTTCTAACTCTGCCTTTAATTATCAATAGAAACATGCTCCAAAGCACATTATCATTTAAATCTCATCTGTTTAGGGTGGGTGTAAAGATGTTTTTAATAACTCTAAAGGACCATAAATTGATGCAATAATGAATTTGAAGATAATTTCAGGAAAGTATAAGCTTCATTTATAAGAGTATCTATTTAAAAAAATCCATCCACCTACTGTAGAAGGAAGCTTGCTGGCTTATGCCATTTTGATGTAAAAGTTCTTAAATAATAAGTCTCAATTACTTGGTTATGCATTTGGTTTCAAACTTTGCTTTTAGTGTGGAGAGGCTGTTCCCAGGCAAATTTTCAGCTCATAATCAGTTCAAAAGGCTTCCCAGCTGTACCTTTCTGAACTACAATAAATACATCTCTGTCCAGTCTCATCATCTTTAGCATCTGACATTTTGTAGCAGAGAGTTTTGAAATCATATTTTATGGCAGTAAATCTGCTAGGGAAAATTTATTGACTTAACAATCCCATCCAACATCTCCTGTCATGTGGAACTGTCCCCAGTACAAGGCAGATTAGTGAATGTGAGCTGCTTCAATTTGGCGCAAATGTTTGGCAAAAGAATTTTCTATTACATGGGTGGGTGAGATCAACCAACTTTGGAACCATTCAATTTATTCTGTGGCAACAGTGTAAGAGAACACGACGGTGACTACAGCTGAATTTGAGTACACTTCCTTCTATTGAAGCTCTGATGAAGTAGCTATGCTGAAATAATAACTTGTTATTACTCAATTTATTTTTTAAGTAGACTGAAGTACCTACATTTTGGTATCTCCTTCCATCATAGATTCTAGGCACAATTAGATGGTAGTTGGAGCTCAATATAAAGAAGCCAGTTAATAGTTAATATGCAATTTCCTGTGGCCCCAGGATCAATCATACATTTCCCTCATAACAAGGTCAATAAATAAGAACAGTGGACTCTTCTAATTCACTTTTAAGTAGTATGCTAGACTCATTTCAATTTTTACAGTCTGCAATCTCATGTAACTTTCAACATTCCACACTCAAACAGGAATACAAACAAAAATAAATTGGTTTAAAGAAAACAAATAATATTACGTCTGTGGCCTCTTCATATTTGCAAAATACGTGACATTTTCAACAAATATCTGAAAATAATAGATTTATGATGCAACATATACAGAGATGTAAACTTGTTATAGAGTTAGTAAAAGCAATGAAAAGAAATGGCAATTCTTTCTAGTGACAAGAATTTCCTGCTCTTGAAAATGGAGCTCGTCATTTCAGAAGATTAGTAAATGCTGATAAATTATAGTTAGAGCAACTTGATATTCTGCAAGGACACTTGTTCGAATTAAATGCAAAAATTTAAATTATAAAGAAGAATAAAATCATTATTTTACAACATTAGATCATATTTTGAGGAATGTAAGCTACATGGATAATAAATGGAATTGAACTGCTGGGCAGTTTGTTTTTCATATAAGTACTAGATTGCTTTTATAAGTTTTATAAGGATCTCATACTAAAACTTCACATTAAGCTTTTAAAATATTAGTGTCAAGCAAGCAATAGATATTTTGTAGATATTTTTATTGTTGATGAAATATGCTTTCCTAACAGGAATTTTCATTTCTGGTATGTGTAGAATTAATGAAGATAACTTATATATCAATAAGATTTCTCTATTTGAGTATCATATTTTTCCATAGAATAGAAGTTAATTGCCCTAATTATCATTTTAATGAGATTAGTGCCTTCTAAAATATTCAAACTTATCAAAATTACAGCAGTATCACAAAATATATATAAATAAGTGGGAAATACTTTCATCTTTTCTTTTTTTGGTTGTTTGTTTGTTTGTTGTTGTTGTTTGTTTTTAGGCAGGGATTCTCTGATGCCCTGGTTGGTCTGGAACTCCTACACTCAAGTGATCCTCCCATCTCAGCCWCTCAGGTTGTTGAGACTACCGGCATGCACCGCTGCACCCAGCATTATCTCCATTTCATAGATAAAACCAATGGTGAATCATGAAAAAATATTTAAAATGAACTTTTTCAAGGCTGCAAAGAATTTCAGGTCCATCTAGGGTGGATCATAGACTTAGAGTAATCCAGATTTTAGAATTTAAACAATCTTTAAAAGTACCTGATCTGAGTATTTCTTTTAAACTTTAAGACACTAAAACCAAGAAAGATGAAACAATTTGTCCAGAGTAATAGAGCTGATAATGTAGCAGATAAAATCTTCCTAAAATTTCACAAATATGACAGTAATTTATATTTTTAACAACCCTGTTAATCATTATTTTTAAATAAGAGTTTATATTCCTTTATAAATCTATTTAGTTACAAATTTTAAATGTGATCATTTTACATGTTGTGGTTATATCCAGAAACTTACATTGTTCATCGACTTAATAATGCTAACGATACACAAGGTAGAGCCTTGTCCTTTGCTTGCATGTTAATAAGACAATGATGTAAAGTTTCTCTTTGCTATCATTTATGAAGCTTTATATGGCACAGAGTACATTTCCAAATATCTTGTAAAGCCCCCAGTGACAACTTTCCATTATCCCTCTCCAACATACAGCATATATAATGGTAATATAAATTTTTTGCACACAAAACAAAATGACAGCAAAGCATTAAGATGACTGGAACTCCCATCCTGGAACTAGTTCCACATGATAAAGCAGACTGCATCATTTCTACCAACCTAATACGAACCCAAACTATAGGACATTTGTCTACTGTAATATATCAAATGTAAAATACTGCATTTCTCTCTTCAGAAGGAAGCAGTACCTTAGATATAAGAATGCACCACCTGTATGACCCACCCAACCAGTGATTTGATGTTTTCATAGATATTAATGTCTTGGTCTCACAAACAATACCAGCTCTACATAGAAATTTTCACAGAAAAAAAAATGGAGATGCTTCATGATATCCTGTAATTACATAAGAATTTCTATTTATTTTTTCAAAAATGATTTTTTTCTTACCAAGGATACTCTAATTAAATCCACATTTCTTCCACAAGTATGATGATAAAGACATTTATGTTTTATGTAGTCATTTATCAAAATATCAAATATTTTCTCAAGTTTCTGCTCACCTGTTCAGAAAAGAGGTCACTGTTATCTTCCAAGTATTTACTGAAAGGATTGGGTTCATAAACTTCCTCTTCTTTTTTCAGTAATATTTTGGATTTTACAGGTACTGGGCGAATTACTCCAGGCTTAGTCTTCATAAATGATAATTTTTTAAAAAAAATAGAGAAATAAATACTGTTAAAGTCACAAAAAATACAATTTTAAAAATGAGTTTACAAATGTATTATAAGCAGCCTGGAAAGCAAATGGTTTTAACTAATGTAGGTTTAGTTGGAAGTTAATTATGATTATTAACTAATCATAATCAATTAGTTGCTTGATTATGACAGCATTCAAATTGTAAAGACCTACTCTCAGACTGTGGTAGTGGCTCAGCACTATACCACTTGCCTAGCAGTATGAGGCCCTGGGTTTGATTCCCAGCACTACACACACACACACACACACACACACACACACACACACACAATCTGTTACAACATTCAAAATGCAAATTCTCTTCATTTATCAAGCCAAACATGTTAGTCTTTCCTTGGCAGTACATTTGTTCAACCAATATTTCATTTGATAAATATTTATTGAGATCCTTCTCTGCCAGTTTTCATTCCAGGCATGACAGGATACATGACCTTGGAACAACCACCAAGTCTATTACAACTTTCGTTTTCCAGAAACTATTTCCCATGTCCCCCAATACACAGAGAAGGGCCTTCAGAAGCCATATATGACAACATGGGGGTGACTAGCAAATACATTCTCCCTCCCCAAAATGTGATTAGGGATTTAAATTGCCGGTATCACTGGAAAATAGAAATTATAATGTCAGTGTGGGAACTGTGAAAAGCTTTACTTCAACTTAAAATGTGGGTCTACTGAAATCAAGATTAGAGCAAAGCACAAGAAGAAGCACCTCAGAGTGACACTTGAGACCTTCCAGAACTGAGTCCTCAAACATTCCTGGTATCCGACTAGATTTCCTATACTGAGTTTCCCTAAGACTTTCGTGTATTTGTACACTTCCTTATATCTAACATTTTTTTCTATAATTTGAAAATCAGAAGAGCTTTATTTTCTATGTCATTCTCTCAAGATTCATAACCTGTTCCCTATGTTGATTCGACAAAATATAAGAGAGAGAGAGAGAGAGAGAGAGAGAGAGAGAGAGAGAGAGAGCTCTGGTTTGGGGCAATGTCAAAATGATGTTTCACAGACTCTAAAACCTTGATACACTGTAAAATGTCACAAAATGATAAGTTTCCAAAAGCATCCCAAATAAGAATTCCATAAAAAGTTGAGCCAGTTTTTTTGGAAAATAGTAAACTAGCTCTTCTCAGTCCATTATGATGTTCACAAGTTGAGTCTTAAGGACCTACATCTACATCTCTTCTCTATTAAATCACCTGATATAGTTTCATTCTTGAATAAATGTCATTCTGTGATACCTTTTCCAATTGATATCTTCCCGGTTGTCTTCATGTATATGCCAACTGGGGAAATAAATACAGATTGAGAAAAGTGTCTTTCTTCCTTGGCTGAGGAATATCTCCTACTTTAAAAACTTTGATTTCTCTCAAAGGGTAAAAATGTGAGCAAGTAATATATAATATTTCATGAAATCACACAGTTAAGTATATGTATGACAGTGATATTTTTCCAATAAATATAGCACAAAAACAAAGCCCAGGCCATAACTGCTGTGTACAACCACCTGTGATAAGAAGATGCCAGATATCTGGGCCACAATCTTCAGCCGTACAGACTTCCTGCCTCCCTTTTCCATTTGATTTTCTGATTAACTTTTGCCTCCTTCCACTCCTACTCCTGAAACTTCTCCTTCTCTTATATTCCTTTGTGAAATCAATACAGAAAATAAGTGTATTTCTACCTCCCAGGGCCTGCAAGGATCTAAAACCAACATGGAACACTAGGAGTTCAGGTCAGTATCAGTGTGCAGAGAGAAGAAATCTGGCCAGCAGCAGCACTTGACATGGTCAAAGGATCTCCCTGTCAGAAAAATATGACTGCCTGGTCCCTGTCTTGCTAGAAGACAAATGTTTTGATTTATATTGCCTGGGAGCCTTTCACTCAGATCATCTGACTTTTGATCAGCACCCTCCAGAATGAGATCAGAAAGAGACTGTTGGGATTCGTTAGATGTCAGAACCCATTATGAATGCTTTGTATTTGGTTTTCTGCTAGCTTTTATGTTCCTTGGTTCCTATGAGTTTCCTGGATTTGATGATTGTCTACCATCAAAGACCATTTCTACGACCAGATTTTCCACATGCTCTTTTCTTGGAATTTGTGCCCCACATTTGGTCTGACTGAAGTCTGTGAACCCTCCTCATCCTACATTGTTCTTCATACAGTTGCCCTGATTATTGAGTTCTATTATTGCCTCTTTTCTTAGTCTTGTTTTGCTTCTGTACCTTAACTCATTGGTATATTAGTTAGTATTTCATAGTCATGGAAGTCAGCTAAGACAAAAGAAGACTAGATATAGTTTGCCTTTCACTTTGTTTATGCTTCCCTTCATATGACCTTTTACTATAAATTCCAAGCTCAACTCTTTTCTCCCTCTCTCTCATTAGAAATTGAATCATGCATCCTCCACAAAGCACAGAACACAGCAAATCATGTTCATAGAAGCCTCTGCACGTTGCTCTTGTTCTACATGCTTATTAATCCTTATAAACTCTGTGTGAAGTTAAAGACCGTAAGTCACACATCAAAGTCATGTCGTTAATATGTGAAGTCAAAGTTTAAATCAAGGTCTGGTTTGATTGTCACACTTGTGATTTTAATTATTCCAAAGTGGAGAGAGAGAGAGAGAGAATAGTAGAGATAGAAACTTGGCCCATTTTGAGCTAGGCAGCTCTTTAAAACTTCTGTTGTTCAAATAGCAAAGCCTCGTATTTTTATACTTTTGTTTCCTTTTAAATTCATTGTTTCTGCTTATTTTCACTGCCAACTGCCATATCCTTGATTGTAGCCATTGTTGCCTTTTTCTACGTCATTTTAATTTTCTTTTTACCAGAATTCCTAAATATTTATAGAGCACTGTGGGCCCTGAAGATTTTAAGTCCTTATGAGTATACAAATTCATTCATCCATTCATCCACCTGCCTGCTTTATGCATATACATGCACACACACAACTTACTCCACCTTATAAAGACTATTAACATGTGGCCAAGACATCAAAATTTACACTGATGTCTCCCTGGATTTGGTAAAAATCTACTCCCAAGCAGTAGCATGATATTGGTAGGGAGAGAATATCAAAGACCAGATGTCAGGTTTTAAAATGCAGTTAATAGACTGTATGACCTTAGGAAAGCCATTTGACATGTCTAGACTTACTGCTAAAGGGTTATAATTCTACTCCATGATTTTGCCTTTTAATAATAGATAGTGACACATTTTATTCCTTATTGTCTTGCCCCCTCAGGGATCATAACCATATAGAATTATTGCATATGGTTTATTTCTACATATTCAAATCCATAATAGTCTCAAAGCACATTTTAGAAAGTTTATAAAATAGGACTATGAAAAAACTGGTTCAATTGCTGGCACACATAAGGCTCTTTTGGAATATTAGCTTCCTTTCTGTTCTTCCTAATACCTTGTTCCTCAGTGTCAAATGGTCATGTAATGTATATTTGCTAAAGCCTAAATTGCAACACACAGTAAACTAATGCTTCATTCCAAAAAAAAAAAAAAGAGCTGTCTGCTAGTACCTTTCCACTCAAAATGGGGTCTGTAGACCAGCAGTGTCAAATCTCAGGTCCCATTCTAGACCAACTGAAAGAGAATATGCATTTTAATAAATTCCTAAGTGATTCGTGTGCACATTAAAAATTAAAAGGCCTTGTACTGGAGTTCATACCATTAAAATGTGCTGTTTACCTAGATATAGATCTTTCCTGGGTTATCATCCTAAAGATTCTATTTCTTTGGTCTTCTGCCTCCAGACAGAAAGGAAGGCTTTAGAATAAACTGTCCTTTATTAATTTCTAATCTACACTGCATTCTTTGCATAATTACCTGTTATCTTTGAACTTCTAGTAGATGTTCTCTTGAAGTGCTACTTGGATTTTGGCAAATCTGATTTGTTAAATTTGCAGCCACATCAATGTTTATAGCAGCCCAATTCACAATAGCTAGACTATGGAACTAACCTAGGTGTCCCTCAACAGATGAATGGATAAAGAAAATGTGGTGTATATATATATACTCAATGGAATATTACTCAACCTTAAAGAAGAGTTAAATTATGGCATTTGCCAGTAAATAGTTGGAGTTGGGCAATATCATGCTAAGTGAAACAAGCCAATTCTACAAAACCAAAGGCCTAATGTTTTCTCTAATATTCGGATGCTAATCCACGATAAGGCTAGGGGYGGGGGCACTAGGGAAGAATAGCATTACCTTACATTAGGTAGAGGGAAGTGATAGGAGGGGAGGGGATGTGGGGATAGGAAAGATAATAGAATGAAACAGACATTATTACTGTATGTATTTATGTGACTGCATGACCAATATGATTCTGCAACATGTGCACTCAGAAAAATGAGAAATTATATTCCATCTATGCATGATACATCAAAGTGCATAAATGTATTCTACTTTCATGTATAACTAATTAAAACAAATTAAAAATTAAAAAAGAGCAACCCTTCAAAAAAATTTGTATCCATATGAATATGAAGGAAATTAGATTGATCAAGTTAGAAGAGTCTATAAAAAAGAGTTACTATAAGATTGTCATTGCCCAATATTATTACAACTTGACTAGCCCCCCCCCCCAAATAGCCATTTTTCATTTTCATCTGCTTTAGCGTTTGTAGAAGAACTAGAGTCATGACATAATGTTCTGTTTAATCATGTCAGGAAAGTTGTTCCATAATTTTCTTTCCAGCTTAAGAGGATTTTTTTTAAAGAACCTACTCTCATAGTTAATAAATAGGGCACAGAAAAAAACAATAGTATTCTTCCAATGAAAGATATCAATTCATAGTGATGAACTTACTCAGAACTGATTCACACTGGGCATAATCATTTTTGAAGTGCCTCCAAGACAAAGGAATTGATTTGCAACTCTGAAGCACATCTCTGTCAGATGCTCT